GGTAGTGACGAGGAACAGTCAAGACACCTACTGGTCAAATGAAATGAATAAGATGGGATAATAAAATATCGAGTTAAAGATAACGAGGTAATACCAACAGCAGAGAGAAATTGAAATACAAACAGTGGGAACAATAAAGGGAGAACGCGGGTAATAACTAACGATAACCAAGTAAATCAACACTGACATAACAGGAACATAGACAAGTAAGAATATTTTCAAATAAAGAAGGCAATGCTAACACAGCCAATCATATCATGACTAGTACACAATCCCGACCATCTCAACCCTCGATTTCTCATGTCATAATCTCAACTTCCGAACCTTCAGCACACATGGCACCTTGTGCCCGCATATTTTTCCATCTCACTTTTAACAACAAAATTCACATGCTATACATTACATAATGTCCGTACAAATGCACTCAAGATGTTCAAGAAGTCTCATTTACATAATATAAAGTAAATTACAATTTCTAGACTAATTAGGAAAAAAACAGCGAGAAAAATTGAAGTTGTTTAATATAATTAAATGCTAGCAGTATGAAGTAATACAGGATAATAAGAATAACAACAGCTATAGAAGAGATAAAATAATCACAGAAGGAATACAGCTAAATACAGAGATAACATCCGGGGATCTCTCAGTATCCCGAGGATCTCTTAGTATCCTCAATATGTGTGCTGGGGATCTCTTGGTATCCCGAGGATCTCTTGGTATCCTCAATATATGTGTTAGGGATCTCTTGGTATCCCGAGGATCTCCTAATATCCTCAATATATATGCTGGGGATCTCTTGGTATCTCAAGGATCTCTTAGTATTCTCAATATACGTGCTGGGAATCTCTTGGTATCCCGAGGATCTCCTAGTATCCTCAATATATGTGCTGGGGATCTCTTGGTATCCCGAGGATCTCCTAGTATCCTCAATACATGTGCTGGGGATCTCTTGGTATCCCGAGGATCTCTTAGTATCCTCAATATATATATGTCGGGGATCTCTTGGTATCCCGCACTACAATCCAAATCAATATAAATGTACATGTGCACGGCATCACCATTCGTGTTTTATCACCCTTTCTCAACCAAACAGTAGAAACAACAACATCCCGGCAAAGGAATCGATCAATATAAATAATAACATCCCGGCAAGGGAATCAACGATAGAAACAATAACATCCCGGCAAGGGAGTCAACAATAGAAACAATAACGTCCAGGCAAGGGAATCAACAATACATAATAAGGGTTACGGAAAAACCAAGAAGCACGATAACATCAACAAAACAACAAGACATAATAAGCTAGCTACACTGGTAACCACAACAATTGGACATGTAACATATTTGCACGAAGACATAGACGAACTCACAATCAAGAAGTATCAAAACAATAAGGAAGGCAATCACTTCAATTAAGGCAATTAAGGGTCAATGTAACACGTAAGAATTATAGGAAAGTTAACAACATCATATAAAGCATATAGAGGCAATTCAAGCAATTATTAAACCCAATCATAATAGGATACTTTCCACATAGTGGACATACGGACCTAAGAATCCTAGAGGCAAATTTCCCACAAATAAATCCGAGCACACGCTCGTCACCTCGTGTGCACGGACTACAATTAGCATAGAAGACTCAAATACTAAGGGGAAGTCCCCCACACAAGGTTAGGCAAGATACTTACCTCAATCCGGCCAATTCAATACTCAATTTAGCTTTTCCTTTACTAATTCATCAACATTCGGCTCAATCTAGCCAAAAATAACTTGAATACATCAAACAACGCAAGAGAAAACAATTTCAATTAACAAAACTATGATTCTTACACAATTTGCAAAAGTCAACTCCTCGGGCCCGCACCTCGGAACCCGACAAAATTTACAAAAATCGAACATTCATTCTGCTACGAGTTCACCCATACAAAAATTATCTAATTCCGATACCATTTGGTCATTTAAATCATCATTTTACATTTTTGAAAGATTTCACAATTTTCCCCAAATTTTTCTTTAGATTCTCATGAATTTGGTGTTAAATCTAAGATATAATCACAAAATATAGTTGAAAATTGATTAGAGACACTTACCCAATGATTTGGAGAAGTTTGGGTCTTTGGAAAATCGCCCATGGGTGTTTAAGGTTTGAGAAAATTGAAAAATGGGTGAAAATCTCGTCAAAAACCTCACTTCACAGGCCTCAAATGTCGCATTTGCGAACCCTTGCAAATTGCGAACAAAGCAGGGCTGGCAGAAGTCGCATTTGCGACAAAAAGTTCGCATTTGCGAACTGAGCATCGCAAATGCGATGAAGAAGTTCGCATTTGCGAACATACCAGAAACCAGCAATTTTTTCCGACACGAAAATGAGCATAACTTCCTCATACGATGTCCAAATTCGATGATTCTTTTTCCTATGGCTCCGTAATATCGATACGGATCTAATGGTTTAAACAAAAGAATTTTGATCCCATTTGCTCAATGTGGTATTATTTTTGCTTGAAGAAACAACGATGAAGCATCCAAAAACTAGCGCAACATAGCCTAAACCTATCTGAAACTCACCCAAGCCCTCGGGGCTCCAAAACAAACATGCACGCAAGTCTAAAACATCACACGGACATGCTCGGCGATCAAATCATCAAAATAACATCAAAAACTATGAATTTAACCTCAAAACTCGTGATTTTCTAACTTTTCTACCGGACATCCAAATCACGTCAAATCAGTTCCGATTCTCACCAAATTTCACAGATAGGACTTAAACAAACTTGTATCAGGCTCCGGAACCAAAATACCGGCCTAATAACAAAGAGTTCAAACATTAATTTATTTCTTTATTTCCTTTAAAAACCAGCACAACAATTTTCTTCAAAAACTATTTTCTAAGGCTAGGGACCTCGGAATTCAATTCCAGCTATACGCCCAAGTCCCATATTTTACCGCGGACCTCCCGGGATTGTCGGAACACAGATCCGGGTCCTCAATATATATGCTGGGGATCTCTTGGTATCCCGAGGATCTCTTAGTATCCTCGATATACGTGATGGGGATCTCTTGATATCCCGAGGATCTCCTAGTATCCTCAATATATGCGCTGGGGATCTCTTGGTATCCCGAGGATCTCTTAGTATCCTCAATACATGCGATGGGGATCTCTTGGTATCCCGAGGATCTCTTAGTATCCTCAATATATATGCCGGGGATCTCTTGGTATCCCGCACTACAGTCCAAATCAATATAAATGTACATGTGCACGGCATCACCTTTCGTGCATTATCACTCTTTCTCAAGCAAACAGTAGAAACAACAACATCCCGGCAAGGGAATCAATCAATAGAAACAATAACATCCCGCGAGGGAATCAACGATAGAAACAATAACATCCCGGCAAGGGAGTCAACAATAGAAACAATAACGTCCAGGCAAGGGAATCAACAATACATAATAAGGGTCACGGAAAAACCAAGAAGCATGATAACCTCAACAAAACAAGAAGACATAATAAGCGCGTGATAGCTACACCGGTAACCACAACAATTGGACATGTAACATATTTGCACGAAGTCATAGAGGAACTCACAATCAAGAAGTATCAAAACAATAAGGAAGGCAATCACTTCAATTAAGGCAATTATGGGTCAATGTAACACGTAAGAATTAGAGGAAAGTTAACAACATCATATAAAGCATTTAGAGGCAATTCAAGCAATTATTAAACCCAATCATAACAGGACACTTTCCACATACTGGACATAAGGACCTAAGAATCCTAGAGGCAAATTTTCCACAAATAAATCCGAGCACACACTCGTCACCTCGCGTGCACGGACTACAATTAGCATAGAAGACTCAATCCTAAGGGGAAGTCCCCCACACAAGGTTAGGCAAGATACTTAGTGGGCACCGCCGTGGTGTGCTCATACTACATTTCTGTATATTTTTTTGTGTACAGATCCAGGTATTGATCGATAGTAGCTGTGCGGGCCGTCGCGGTGGAGACTCACGGTAACCTGTTGCTGCGTTCGCAGGCCTCGGAGTCACCTTCGTTTGTATTTATGTCCCATTGATTCCTTCTCGTTCTGGAACATTGTTGTATTTATTTGGTATAACTACTCTTAGAAAGGCTTATGACTTGTACCACCGGTATTGGGAATTGTGATTTATTGAGAGTTATTTAATTTGAAGTTAGTAAATGTTAATATTATTTCAGTAAATATTAGTTTAGAGACTAGGTGCCATCACGACTCCTTTGGAGGAATTTTGGATCGTGACAGTAAATAGCCAACTAAAGGGAGCAAGACACTTCTTCTCCAAAGATGATCTTTATAACTGACGATCTCTAGCAAAAGTTTCTTTTTTTTTTTTTGGAGAAAAATTCCTAACCATTCTTTTAAAGCTTTCTTAGTTAAGTTTCCGTATTGTCCCTTGCTAAGTGAAAAGAGATTGCTACAATCTCACCACACCTCTTGTTCAAAACACTTTAATTTTATATTAAATACTCCATATGTTTTGTCCTCCTACTAAACAAATGATTAATATTTATTTCGAATAAGCGAGAAAAGGAAGCACACATATTCCAGCTTAGATTTAACGAATAACAAACCCTATAAAATTATGGCGAAAAAGAAGAAAGAAACGTACTCAATTCGAAAACCCACATCCTACTACTTACACTGGATTCAGGTCCTTGTAGATTTTGCTGCCTCCGGAAATTAACTTCATTATTTCTCAATAAACAGAAGTCACGGGAACTCGACCAAGTTAACAAATAATTAAGAACAAGGTGTTGTCAAAGAAACTCGTTGACGCACGATTGGTTACTATACATACAGTTCTTATGTAGAGATCAATCTAGCTCTTAACGGTCGTCTAAAGAGAACTCGAACTAAAAAAATAATGTCACTCTTAGAAAGTTTTACTAGAAATGGCAGTTCAGTAGTTAACGTGACCCCTTGTAGAGTCGGTTTTTCCTTAAGAGAACCAAACCAAGCATGTCGATCTACCAAATTTATAATTAGCAAAAGAGAAGGAGAAGAACTAGTGAAAGATTTGGCAAAATCTTCCATAACATTAAACTGCAATGGTCACTAAATCTCTAGAGTCAATCACCTTAAATTTTCACCTCTTTGGAGCTACATAAGAGCGGAGTCAAAGTTGTGTAGCAACGACTGCAAAAATATAAACCTAGAAGTTGCACCAAACAGATGTACATCCGGATTAATAGGATATAAACTTTTCAGGTTTCGATCATGGGCTCAGGACCGGAGGGTTCTTTCTGCGACTTGCCTGACTGACGAACACTATTAAAGAGAATGTCTTTGATAACCTGAAAGCCACAGATAAATACATCCGGAGTGTCAAGACATTTCTATCTACCAGTGGAAGTGTTCAAAGAATTCAAGCTATGAGAAATATATGTGACTAATATAAGAATAGAGCAGCATATACCTGCGACATTAAGCCATGAACTTGCTCGACAGTAATCTTAGCACTATCACGTGTAATCTTAGCAAGCTGAGATTCTTCCTGCAAAACAGAGGACCAACACATTTAGTTGCAACTCAGAAGACCGACACATTTAGTACCACTATAACGCAATGTTGTATTTTGCAATTCACAAAAGCATGCGTCTGAGGATCTAGATAAAGACAAGGTCACTCCATATAACCAAGCTCAATGGTGCAAAAGCAAATAGTAAGATACATGAAGTGAAACAATATGACACATCACCACCCGCCAAAATATAATTTTGGAAGTGGGAAAAATGGTTGGTTTTATGCGTTCAGGATCTACTTTCTATGGTACAAATATTGCATATATGAAGGGAAGTAGAGCGAACACATACACTGATTGAGAATCACTTCCCAAGGCATAAGACTGAATCCCAAATTAGTAATCACTAATCACAAAGCTTCCTCAAACAAAACCTCAAACCCCTTATGTAACAATGATATAGACACATGTTGGTATTATTCAGAGATATTCAATAAAGACGCCAGGTCCCTTTTTACACCTACTTCTGCTTCACAGGTCAGATATTTGGCAAGTGATTGTTTTCCACACGCTTAAACCAGTACAGTAAAAGATACCTTTTATTTCACAGGTCTACTCTATCAACCACACTCTACAAACAGAGGATCAAATCATTCAAAGGTAAAAATAGGATCAGTTTGGCATATCATCATAATGAACTAGTTTTCTCTTCGGGATGATATTTGAAATACATCAATCACACGAGTAGGAAACTTTTGCTCTGTCCACTATACTTTTTTTATATCTTCTGCTAAATAGTAAGAGAACTCTTTGTTCATAAACTCTTGGCCTTTTCCTAAGAGTTCAGCATACAAATTGCTGAGACTTGCATGAACCTAAACCATAATCAACTGTCAGCTAATCATAGTTCCACATTTGAATACACAACGTACCCTTCCTTTTTCTTCTCTGGTTACTTTCTCCAATTTTCTCTTTATAAGCACACGTTAGGTGCTCCAGTTTCTATTCATAACGAATATGGACATGGATGCGTTTTCTTGCATCATTCTTATCAAAGTATCAAAGTATGCCACCTTAGCAAGTGCATAATGGGTTTTGAGGTAATGGGCAAGCCAACCGTAAACATAATGGATGAGAAACAAATTTGACCTAATCAAGTTGGGAAGAACACAAAATCTTATTCAAATCATGATAGAACACTCGCCAAAATTGGGACCATAAGGCTAATCTTTTGTCCACTTGCCATCTTAAAAGTCTCGGGACGAATGAAGTTTCCTACCTATAGGGAAACATAAAAGCACATAGCCAACATGATAAGAAGGCGGCTTGATATGTTTCATCTTTTTTGTTTGACCCCACCCTAAGCTTGAAAAATGCAGCTTCTTCATCACTTGACCATTTAGTCGTCTCAGGAATAATTCTGTTAGGATTATGTGTCGACTTTAGGTGCGCGGATTTCTTTACCTTCCGTAATCGGGCAGATTTATATATTAAAGCTTTCTTGCACCAAAAACTTGTCCACTTGCTCAAGGAGACCTTTTGGTTAACGCCCGTACCTTCCTTAAGATGATGGAAAATAGCAAATAAGTACTCGAACATCGAGGAACAAATCTCATATGTTTTTCGTCTAAGCATGTAAGTTCCCTTGTCTCAGGTACCACTTCCTCATACGGAGAACCCACAATAGGTAAACCTCCAAGAATATGCAAGTCCCAAAGACAGATAGATAGCTCTCCAGCTGATGTAAGAAGTGTGTTCGTCTTGGGGCACCGAGCCTCACAAAATGCTTGCAAAATGTTCGAGTTTCGACCATAAGTGAAAAGCGAGGCATAGACAGCATCATAAAATTTTGTTTTAAGGTTTGTTGGCTTCTATCAAGTACATCATCAACCCATTCCCAATATCCTGGAATACTCCCCCTCGATTTTACCGTGTTTTCCCAACGCATTTCTCCTTCGATTACGCGACACCCTAAGTTTGGAAGGGTGCTAGCAATGTTTACGTGGCGATGGATTGGTGCTTGGAGAGACCACATCTTGGATAGTGGATTAGAAGTGGACTTGTGCTCAAATATCCAGTTTTCAGATGAAGCATGTTCCTCAAAGAAGGCCATGAGCCTGCATACCGGCCAACTTGTGGGGTGTGAATCGAAAATTTGGTTTGTTTTATGCCATCTTCAGTCTCAATTATGAGATATCTAAGTATGGAGGAAGCTGAGGTAGTCTCTTTTTGTACTTGAAAGGTGCCAATCTTTTTGAAACAAACTAATAAGGAAATAGCGCCAATCCTTTTGAAACAGAGGAAATATTAACTGGTAATTTGTTAACAATTAATATGTCAATTTAATTACATTAAGTAATGGATAATACAATTAGATAAGCAAGGAACAAAAAAGAATTGTGAAACAATAAAAACGTAAGACTTATAATTAGAATTATGATGAGAAAAGTCGTACATATACACATAACTAAAATCATAATAAACAAATAGTCATAAAAGAAGAATACTAAAAAAAAACCTTCAAGCAATAGAGTAAAATATACATACTAATTAAATTTTGCATGTAGGAAAGTTTAGTTAATAAATAGAACTCATAATTTCATAATGAAAAATACAAAAATATGAAGATATATATATATATATATATATATATATATATATATATATATATAAAACACAAATTAATAATTATTAAAAATATTGATAGGTTTTTAATGAAAATAATAAAAGGCTTCTCTCTTTATACTTTTGAAGAATTCAAAATTATAATTTAGTAAAAAAATATTACATTATTCAAATTTTCAGTAAAATACAAAATGAGAAAACTAATCAAATACTATAGTACAAAAGAATGTAAGAAAAGAGGGGGATAAAGATACTTTTATGATATTTATATTTTGAATTACTCCTTCCGTTTCAATTTTCAAATTAGATGAGGTACTTTTCTTTTTAGTCTGTTCCAAAATAAATGACACATTTCTAAATTTGAAAATAATTCAACTTTAAACTGTTCATTTTACCCATTTTACCCTTAATGAGAAGCTTTTATAACCACACAAATGTATGGCCCCACAAGGTTTTTACCTCTTAAGCTTTTAACACCACTAGTTTTAAAAGTCTTCTTCTTTTTCTTCTCCGTGTCGAGTCAAACTACCTCATCTAATTTGAAACGGAGAGAGTAATTCATAAATAAAAGACAAATAAATAACACTCAAGAAAATTATCGATAAATTTAGACAATGGAAGAATTCCGAACAGTATAACATAAGTTTAAAAAAAATTCCAGAGTAAGAAAATATATATCAATATTATATTAAAAGAGAAGTAATATCAAAATATTAAGCCAATTGACAAGTTAATAAAAAATCATATTAGTAAATGTATAGTACTACGTACTTGTTAATTTAATAATAATAATAATAATAATAAAGAATAAATAAGGAACAAACAATTTATTTGATTACTATATAATGTGTATCTTTTGCTTTTGTATAGATTTTGCTATATTTTTGTACACTACATTATATAATAAAATAACAACTAATATTTATTAAAATAATATGATATATTAGATTATAATTTAATATGATTAATATTCTGTCAAATTATCCGTGCATCGTGCGGGTCCTAACACTAGTTATCATAATGAACTAGTTCTCTTCGGGATGATATTTTGAACACATTAATCACACGAGTAGAAAACTTTTCCATTGTCCACTATACTTTTTTATATCTTCTGCTAAAGTAGTAAGAGAACTCTTTGTTCATCAACTGCTGGCCTTTTCACCTTTTCCTAAGAGGTCCACATACAAATGGCTGAGACTCGCATGAACCTAAACCAAAATCAACTGACACCTAATCATAGTTCCACATTTGAATACACAACATACCCTTCCTTTTTCTTCTCTCTGGTTACTTTCTCCAAGTTTCTCTTTATAAGCACACGTTATGTGTTCCAGTTTCTAAGTTATAGCAAACTCTCCATCAAGCATAAGAAGAAAAGAAAATGAATATAACAATCAAAGCAAATGAATATGTACTATTGGAGGCAGATTTATATTGAGTTCCCTTAAGCATATCCTGGCATATTTTTAGTTATAAGCCGTTTCATAGCCCAGCAAATTATGATCAAGAGGGCCTAATACGCCACACAGTTACAGAAATAGCCGCTCTGTAAGCACAAAATACTACTTGGGGTTTGATATCTTCGAATAGGAATCACATGCCAAAGAAATTCAAATCCAAAAGAGTAAAGAACTGCCAAACCAATATTCTCAAACAAAGTAAGAAATAGACATGTAATTTAAGGTATGAATTGCCAAGACTCAAGAGAACACAAAAAAGAAAATACCTCTTTCTTCCTTTGAGGGGGTGCCATTAAGGGGCCAAAACGTGAATGGGACAGTTGATTTTCAGCTTGCTCCAGCTTTTCAGCTGCATGATTTAATGGGGTCAACTAATTTCGAGGTGTTTCAAAAGTGGAAACTTATATCCAGCCATCAATTCATTCTGATAATAATAGAAAGTGGATATGTTAAGCGACAATAATATTACCAAGATCAGATATCTGTCCAGCAACATAGTCTCCATTTCCAAGCAAAGGAGAAGACGAAAGCGTGTTCACCCAATACTTGTTCCATAGTAGGTCCAAGAGATGGCAATCAAGAGAGGACTTGAAATACGTAATATCCAATGAATAATACTGCAAATTAAGAGAAAAATTGGTGAGCTAACAGTCAAAGGTTTAAACATATATTGAGTGCATGTGCCCATGCCAAAGAGGCAACCTGCTTGCAATGTACTCCAAAATCTTCAATTTTGTTCAACGGAATGGTCTGGTACTCTGAGATAGGATCATCTGGAGGCTTGTATCCTTCTGGATATGTTCGAAAGGCACCAATCTCAACTTTTCCAGCAGAAACAGTTCTTGTTGGATCAATAACAACTGCAAGAAAGGGCTCCTGATATTGCTGGTTAAGCATTTGTGTGGTAACATCAATGCCAGAGAGCCAGCATCCATAACCAGGATGAGAATGGTACCACCCAACCACATTTTCCAGCCGACCAGCCTATACCAAAAACTGAGTGAGAGAATGGTCTGAACAAACTACTGAAATAGACAAGCACCTTCCAATTAAGAAAATCAACTGAGACACAATATATAAATCCTATATACAAATGCACACACCCTAAGTTAAAGCAACTCAAAAAAATTTCTAGGTGCAGCAAGATTGAATTCCGTGACCAATGGAAGATTTTTGACCAGAAGCTCTAATAAACTGCAAAGTTACTAACTCCTGAAATAGACAGAGGTATTTATAAATATAAGTAGAAACTCCAAATAAATGCTTATAGAAAACACATATGAAGCAATAGATCAATCTGAAATAATTGACTTTTTGCTAATGATTCTCCAAAAAATGCATGTGAAAGGCAACCATGGCATATGAGCAAGAATCTGTGGTATGTCCCCAAGATTGGTAAACAACAGTTGCCACAGATACCGGATCAAAGACTTAAGAACTAATCAAGAGAGGCCACTCTATTCTCAAAATGACAAATTTTGGCTTAACGGCTTGTGTACTAACACGGTGATGGAAACCTACGCAATGTACTACAGACTAATAGCAGGCTATGACCAAAGAATCACTGAGGAGTGCCCTGAGATGCAATTCCGAAGCAACGGCATGAGCATGCTAACATGTAATTGGCGAGATTAAACTCTATTAACTTCAAATACCAAACAACAATCCATTTGTAGGAGCATCCTGATCTAGAATCAAATAGTGGCGTACACCTTTTTCTTTTATGACCATGGAGTCCACTCTTACGTAATAAGATCCATCACACAGAGATCACAATGAAAATTACAAATATAATGTAGGTTGATAAACAGAATAGAAATAATAGCATAACGACGAATTAATCCCTAATTTTTAAACCTGTAAAACATGATTTTCTTCTCCACTAAAAATATTTCCACTTACAGCTTGTTTAGATGGTTGTTATGTACCGTTTCATAATGTATCATATGGTATTATATTGTACTCTATCGTTTTGATGTATAGATAGATTGTATTGTTTGTTGTCGTTTCATAATGTCATGCACCAATAATATGAAGAATAAACTTGCAATACTATAAAGAAAAAGTTAAGTACAGGGTAAAACTAATATATAAAAAGATAGGGTAAAAGATAAAATAGGATTATTTAACAATAAGGAAGGGCAAGATGAGAGGAAAAAATAAGGTACCGACGCGACCACACCAAATCGGTCGTTTCATAAAGTGGTACTTTTCGTCCTTACGTAACAAAGATTTAACGATACGATACAATAAAATTTAAGTAACAATAAAAACAAATATTGTATTTAAAGTAACAATATGATACAATACATCGGGTAACAACCATCCAAACAAGCTGTTAATTTCACATGGAACAACTTCCATTAATAAGAGATTCTGTCAAAATGCCACACAACCCTTAAGGAAAAGCCTTAATTTAACCTTGAGAGTATTCTAGGTATCCTGAAATAAGGACATTTTGTTTTAGTTAATCTTTGGCGCACCCATGAGGCTCCTGTCATAGGTTCTCTACTATTATATACACATATTCAGCAAATTGTCCACTTCATTAATAAAACATCAATAGGAAAACAGAGAATTTTACATCAATCCAAGAAGCCCCCGAGACTAACTATGCATATATAGGAAACAAAGAAAAATAATATCATGACATGGTCAATTGGCTTCTGAACCAAATTACGTATTATTAAAAGTTAAAAAGGCACTAACCTGCTTGTTGGTCTGTGAATACTCGACCATATATTCATAGGCATCAGCTTGAGCATTAACCCTAGTTTCAGTGCCTTCAACGGGAAGGGCAAAAGCGTCCATGACAATAATCGCATCGCCATCAGTCTTACCCTGCATGAGTCCCATCACCTCAATCGTACCACCGGAACGCGCGTGAACGACCATCTTGAGTAGCGCGAGAGCAGAGATCTTCACGCGCTTAAAGAAGTGAGGGTCACTCGCCCACGGCTTCTCCCGCTGGAACTTCGTCTGTGCCGCCTCGTCGTAGTGGAATATGGCGTCAGACGCTGAATTTTCCGGTATCGAACCCGACGGCGCGTCCATTGTCACGATGTTGTTCTCTAACTCCCAGGTTTGCTGCGCCATCGCCGCCGAGGATGCGTACGAATTTAGAGGATCCATTGGAACTTCGAAAGTGCAATTGCAGAGCTCTTCTACACACTGATTTTATAAGTGAAAAATCGGGGAAGGGTTAATTTGAAGAAGTTCGGCAAAAGAGAAATTTAAGAAAAGCACTAAATAACCCTGTAATATCACTTCGTTGCAGATACATGCCTTATATAATAAAAGTATATACTTAATCTCCTTAATTTTTGAAAGTTATACACAAATAATAGTTTGACTATATTTCTATTTTACAAGGTGTTAAGTGTTTTGGTTAATGAGAAAATTAAAAAAATTATATCAATTCTATTAAGTTTAAAAGAGTTGTTATAAAGAAATTAAAGTATGGGAGATATGTGTTATATTGTGAACCGTAAGAGAGGTTAATGTTACAAAGTTAAACCTTAAGGCAGGTCGCTGAAATTATCTCTCATTATTATAATAATAAAGATATAATTCCACAACGCAATGAATAATGGGCTCTCCTTTCTATCCTTCTCCACTTGAATACTAGATTTTTATCTATAGCAGAATGGCATTACAAATCACGCGTTGCTCTCTTATTAGTAGGGTGGTTGTTGCTTTTCATCATCTAGATACGAATACTTTAAAAATAGCATAAAAGACCAACGCATGATAGATCGGAGAGAGGGACTCATTTGACTAATCAGTGGTCCATGAACCTACCTATGAATTAAAATACATGTCCTTGAAAATAGGAGATTGGTTGATCGGGCTTTCTCTTAGCCTCTTGTTTACCTTGAAAATGGTAATTACAATTAGATTTGATTTAATGGTTCTAAAAATACGTGATTTATTTTTATGTAAGTTGTTAGGCAGTAGATGTTAAGTGTGAGATTAGAAAATAAGATAAGAGCTTGAAGGTAATGTATTAAGCAAACCGAGAGACTGAGAATCGGGGCCTCGAGCTGGCTGATACGGGGCCTCGAGGTCGAGCTGGGTGTGAGGTTCTGAACATTCGATGGGGAACTAACAGTTCTCAGGGCCTTGATTAGGGCTTTTCATGATCAATGATGAGTAATAAATGAAGAACAATTAATGAAATACAATAAATGTAAGTAATATGATCAAAGGAGAATATGTCTAAGTTAGAGAGCAGAGAATGTTCTTGTTCATGTATTCAATGTTGAGTGCTATGCTTTACAAAATGACAAGGGTCCCTTTTATATATGAGGGGAAATCCCAACCATGGTACAGATACATTTATTACAAAGATACGCGGCTGATACAGCCATTTAATATCACGGTATGGGCTTGTACTAGCCTAACAGACTTGGTCAGCTTTCATCAAGTGCCTTGGGAGCTTCCCGTTTTGCCATCATAACCATCGATTTATACTGCCCCGAGGTCGAACGTTGAGCACCCTCGGGGTCGAACCTCGAATCATGCCTCGAGCCTTTGGAGACGTGCTTGTGAAGCGTCATAACGGCCATAAAATCGGACCCTCTGATTTTTACCGTATACAGATAGTCCCCGCGTTTCTTAGAATAAAAATGATAAGAAACGGTCTTGACTCTCAACTTTCTCGAACATCTTGTGATGACGTCATACTTGTGACGTTAGTGCTCCAAGTGACTGAAAACATCCTATCAGTCCATCTTCAAAGGTATTCAATACACTGTCGATTTATTCTCCCAAAAGCGGTCATATAGCCGCCGATCCATTTCCCAAAAAGCACTGATTGCGCCTGGCGTTACGTTTCCCAAAGGCATTGATTGCGCCGTTGGTTACGCTACTGCCTTTCTATAAATGGGAGGTTTCTTGAATCAAAACTCCATCCAGTCACTCTTCAACAGCTTTTAACCCCTTTCTTCTCTTCTTCATCTTCCGAACTTTATTTTCCATGGTTCAAGCCCGTGATCGTAAGGTCACACGGCAACGGTTTTGTCAGTTATGCCATGGCTCTCTTTCAGAGCTCTTCCCCACTGAGTGGGATCGTACTGGTTTGTTGTTGTTGGCCCGAAATGATGAGAGAGAGGCTTCAAATTGTTCTCGCGTCAAAAGATATGTGGTCCTTGAACTGCTGCTCATCTCTCCTAACTTCAACCTGGTGTGGCGCTTCACTCCCTTTGCTTTCCTCGGTGTGAAGTGGCGTCATCTACTAACTGTTGCATCCCACACCGGTGCAACATCTCAAGAAGTGGCTTCACAATAGTAGTGCTGATGAGACCCATACTAGCCAAATTTTTCACCAAGCCACAATTTTCCTGGCTTTAAAAGCTTTTGCTCTTTGATAGGCTATAGCCCTCTTCCTCATCTATTGTTGCTCCAGAGGAGATTTTCGAAGACGTCGCTCCGAAGATCGAAATGGGATCCCCGAGGAAATGGTTCTCGCAGATGTCGCTCCCGAGGATGTACCTCCGAGAGTAGATTAGACTCCTAGCTGTTATTTTTCGCTTTTTTGTTTCTGTGTAAGGACCCCTCGTGGGCTTTTGTAATCATCGTTTATTAATAAAAAATATTTCTTCAGTTTTTCTTTGATTTGTGCTAGACTTCTCTTTGTCTTCGTTTGTAAATAACCTGAGCATGTGACTTTATCGATTGGTCCGAATACTGGACCCGGGCGTAGATACTCCTTTGGTTCTCGATCAGTTAATATGATATTCCGTAAAACCCTTTGCCGTTCCTCAAACTAAATCCGGATTGACTTGATACAAACTTAGGTCGTCGGAACTTCCGACTTCGAATCGAGTGAGAGTGGGGCCTCGAATTTTAGAATAAAACTTAGCCCTTTCAGGCCTCGTTGATAGTCCTCGAGGGATGAAATTGCTCGATCACCTGAAAATAAAGACATCCCTATGGCCTTTTCAAATAGACCCGAGTGAGAGTTTATCTGAACTCGGGCGGCCTCAAAAACTTGCTTTGAACTTAAAATGAAGATAGCCCTAAGGCGGTATAGATAGACCCCGAATAAGTATACGCTCGAACTCGGATGGCCCTTGGGCTAAGGTAACCAAGAGTGTTTAAATTGAACTAAAGGCGAAAATAGCCCTGATGCTTTATTGATAACCCTCGAGTGGGAACTGACTCGGACCTGGAAAGATCCTCGAGATCGGGCACCATCTCGAGGCTAGGTTTATGCGGGTAGCCCCTTAAAGCCCATCGTTATAGCAACAAAGATCCTCGAGATAGGTACCACCTCGAGTCTAGGTTGATATGGGGGTCTTTGACCCCTCGAACGTTGTATGAAATCGTCAATCGTATGACATGGCCATGAAATGGTCGAGGTGCTCCCACCGGTACACCTTCCCGAAAGTGATAATGGCCTAGTCAGCATTAATTGGCCTTTAAGGTAGGCGTACAGTCGCCGCTTTCTCCATATATGAGTTTGTTCTCCCCTTTTTTGAGGATTCCACTATTTTGAGCAGCTATCCTTTTTCATAGATTTCTTCTTTCTTGCATCAGCTTTTTCACCATTTTAATTCCAAGCTTTCGCTTAAGTTCTCGTTTCACTATAGTTATGGCTGCTATGCCAAAATTCGTTCACCAAGAAGAGGAGAGTTCTACCTCTGGCTCCCGCTCGACCGGTGGTACACCGCCAGCATCTGGTGAGCCAACCCCGAGATGTTTTGTCTTGAGGAAGGAGTTTTCGTTAGAGAGACCTCCCAATGTTCAGGGCCATTGGAGTATGCATCGAAGTTCATTTCTTTAATAGGAGAGTATCACCTCGAGGCAGTGAGGAGAGACTGCGGATGGGGAGAAAAGGTGGTATTGCAGATATCTTCCGCGGAAGAGAGAATCATGTCTCATGTAGAGGGGTTTTTGAATGTATACACGTACCCCTTTACGTTGGGCCCTCTTGATAGGGTCGTGCTCGGCTTTTGTCGAAGATATCGGGCTACCCTGGCACAGGTTCACCCGATGTTCTGGAGGGTAGTATTGATAATGAGGTTCTTTGCGGAGGAAGCCAGGCTTGAGTTCGCCCTTAGCCATCTCATCAGGCTATACCGGCCTTTTCATCACCGAGGCCTGATAACTTTGCGATGTCGATCCACCAGGCCCTTTGTTGTTGTTGATGAAGAAGATGGGGATCGAGGGTGGATGAGCCGATTCGTTCGAGTGCGGACTTTCGATATTATCCCCGTGGAGTTCCTGCCATTTCCCGAGGAATGGAATTTCACACGTAAGTGGTACACTTGTGGTTTTAATATTTTGGCTCACGGTGAAGGTGGATTCTGTAAATGTGCTCTCTTTTCCCTTTTTGCAGCGATCCCGTGGATGCCATACGAGGCCCCCGACCTGACGGATTGGGCTTGGAAGCTGCCAGCCCGCTCGACTTATGACGAGCGTAAGTGGCGAGATCTGTCCAAGGGAAGATGGGAGGCAAAACACCATGGTACGTGCTGTGTGGTTTGTTTTCTTTGAAAGGTAATTTCATTCATGTGTGCTAACTCCGTCACCATAGGCATTAGGGAGTTTTCTGAGAGGATTTTGACCTCGGTCTGTCCTTCAATCATTTCGGGGTATGTTACGCCTTGGGGCGTTCCTTCGATCTTCAGTGTAGGGTTGATACCTTTCCTTGTTTGGCCTTGGTTCCTTTTCCAAGAGCCTGTTAGGATATACTGAGCCCGAGAGAGCTCCCAGTTGGTCGTCCTCGACCCTAATCTTCGACTGATATCGGTTCTGGACATCCGACCAAGTCACGGCGGGATATTCTATCAAGTTCTGATTTAGTTGATTTGAAGCTATAGAGATTCGTTCGTTCAAACCTTGGGTGAAGGCCTGCACTGCACTGTCATCAAAGACTGGCGGTTTCCATTCGCTCCATTTGGAAACGAGATAAAAACTCCTGCAACATCTCGTTTTCTCTTTTGTTTGATCTTGAAGACGTCGGATTTTCTTGTAGCGACCTTAATGGCACCGGCGTGTGCCTTTATAAAAGAATCTGCCAGCATGGCAAATGAATCTATTGAATTAGGGTCTAGGTTGTGATACCACATCATGGCCCCTTTTGAAAGTGTTTTTCCAAATTTCTTCAATAGGACAAATTTAATCTCGTCGTCCTTCAGGCCATTCCCCTTTACAGCACAAGTGTAAGCAGTGATGTGCTTGTTGAGGTCTGAGGTTCCATTGTACTTCAGGAGATCGGGCATTCTAAATTTCTTCGGGTTGGGCTTTGGAGCAGCATTTGACGAGAATGGTTTTTGTACAAATTTCCTTGAATCTACACCCTTTAGGATCGGGGGTGCACCTGGGATCTGATCGACCCTTGAATTGTAGGTCTCCACCTTTTTTGTCATTGGCTTCTATCTTCTTTTCGCCTGATTCAATCCTCTTCGTGAGGTCCTCGAGCATCTTTATGATAGCGGGGTCGGCTGCCGACCCATTGTTGCTTGATCTTTCTGGTACTTGTTCGGCTCGAGGAGCCGCTTACGGTGCTGCTGTGCTCGGAGTTTTTTGGTAGCTCTGCGTTGAGCGATCGCCAACTGTTGTGCCTGCAACATCTCAAAAATGATGTGAAGGCTAACCTCCCGTTCCTCCCGAGCTGGGGTTTTCTGAGCTTCTTGTTGGTTCTCTTGGCGTATACTCCTGTCGGTGTGGGAGCTTATATCGACGTGTTGGGCGTTGCGCGAGACCACGTCCACGGGAATCGGTTCTGGTGCATCCTCAGGGTTTCCTGGTGGTACACCAATACCTGGAACAGCTACACCATTCTCTCCATGGTCCTCAAGACCGTTGTCTTCATGTGCGTTCACTGAGTTAGACATTTTGACCTGAGATCAAAGATTACTGGACAAGAAAAAGTGTGAAAGATAACTTGCGATGTGTAGTAAACCAGCAAGAAAACAATCACTATTACTTTTAGCCCCACGGTGGGCGCCAAACTGTTTACCTTGAAAATGGTAATTACAATTAGATTTGATTTTGTGGTTCTAAAAATACGTGATTTATTTTTATGCTAGTTGTTAGGCAGTAGATGCTAAGTGTGTGATTAGAAAATAAGATAAGAGCTTGAAGATAATGTACTAAGCAAACCGAGTGGCTGAGAATCGGGGCCTCGAGCTGGCTGATACGGGGCCTCGAGGTCGAGCTAGGCGTGAGGTTCCGAATAGTCGATGGGGAACTAACAGTTCTCAGGGCCTTGAATTTTTATGATCAATGATGAGTAATAAATGAAATAAAATAAATGTAAGCAATAAATGTAAGTAATAAGATCATAGGAGAATATGTCTAAGTTAGAGAGCAGAGAATGTTCTTGTTCTTGTATTCAATGTTGAGTGCTATGCTTTACAAAATGACAAGGACCCCCTTTATATATGAGGGGAATCTCAACCATGGTACATATACATTTATTACAGAGATACGCGGCTGATACAACCATTTAATGCCACGGTACGGGCTTGTACTAGCCTAACAGACTTGGTCAGCTTTAATCAAGTGCCTTGGGAACTTTCCGTCTTGCCATCATAACCATCGATTTATACTGCCCCGAGGTCGAACATTGAGAACTCTCAGGGTCGAACCTCGAACCATGCCTCGAGCCTTTGGAGACATGCTTGTGAAGCGTCATAACGGCCATAAAATCGGACCCTCTGATTTTTTACTGTATACACCTCTACACTGTGAATTGATTTTGCCGTGTTATTTCACATTTAAAATTGGTTTCCTCTCTCGATAACATACTTCATTATTCCTAACTTTTGGTATGAGAGCAAATTTCAAGCTAAAAAGTATCACTCGATTTTTTTATTATCGTTTTTAACTACATTAAGAGTTGAGAATATCATAAAGTGATACAATTTTCTAAATTTTAATTAGATGACAATACGTGCTATTATGAACATCGCTTGTGCATGTTGCGCAAGCGCTAAACGTTATAGATATGATTAACGAAAGCGTTCATGATCTCTTAGTAATATAAGATATTTTAAATCTAATAGCTTTTCCTTTTACATCCATGTTCTTTTTGTTGCAATTTGTACATTTTTTAAAATTCTAGAGGCTGAGTGGTTCTAGAAAGTAGAAAAAAAAAAGGCACAACATTCCTGTTTCCAGCATTTCACGATAGTTCAGTGCCTACTTCAACTGTTAAATGAGATAGAAGAATCCCTTGAATTAATGCAAAGTTAATTTATTTTTAAATGCATTTGTTGTAACTTTCACCATTTACGCCTTCGATAACGGAATGCGTGAAATTAGTAATAGTAGAACATTTATAAAAAGGAATTTAGTTCAGTTGCACTAATGGCTGTCACTTGCAACATATACCTTCGTATCGAATTAAAAAAACTTAAGAGAATATGCGTGGGGACTAATTTAAAACAATACAATATGCAGGTTGCAATTTTGCTACTTTTTGATGTAGTTGGGATTTTGATGAGATCAATAAGTTCAGAGAGGTACATTGTTGGAGAAGGCTATGGTTGGGGTTCTGCCCCTTATCCCGCTTATTACCAAGATTGGGCTAAAACTGTAAAGCTTAAAGCTGGAGATGAATTAGGTAAAACCTTCACTTCACCTAATCTTTTTTTCATAACAGTGGTGTCCGGGCTTACTAGAAATTTATTTAAGTATTTGAATACGAGCATAATTTGGACCTTGAATTTATTGGTGACTTATTATCCACTATGTTCTGTAGAGTTTAGATTCGAAAAACCTGACGATTTGCTGGAGATTGGAAAATTCGACTACTATGCATGCACTTCCAACACTGTTTTCAGGCCGTATAGAGAGAGTCCAGCAATATCATTCTTACTGGCACCTGGAGAATATTACTTCAAATCCAGCAACAATACCAATTGCATTAATGACCAGAAACTTTATGTAAATGCAGAAGCTCCAAATGAAGATAATGATAAGTTTGACAACAACAGCTAGAAAGAAAGGCGGAATCATGAGGATAAAGACAATGATCGCTAGATTACTTTGTTTTAGATTAGACAATAACTTCTAGGAGTTAGAGTCTGTGAATGTAATTTTATTACGTGCACTCATTTTAATTATAGTTTTTCTATATATGCATAGTTTGAGTCGACAGTGAATAAGTTCAGTTGAACTCGCATGACTTGCCCTAGATATGCCTCTGACAATAATTTAAGTCAAGCTATACATAGAGGTGCTTCTACTTGTTTCAGATGGCGATAGAGTTGCTATGGCAACTCTTTTGCCGTCTGGTTTTCAATCGAACAGCACAAATGTTGATTGTTTTTGCTGCTGCACCTTTAGATTCATGAAACCTTGATCTTTTTATACTCCATTACTTTTGTTGTTGCTAAAAATAATTGTGCTTCACCTGTTTCAGATTTATGCTTGCTTTAAACTTAATGGCACTCCCTTAGTTCACTTTTTATTGATTGGTATACTCGATTAGTGGAAAAGAAAGAAGCACAATATTACATCATCCACCATGAATTAACACGATTTCAAATATCTTTGTCTGAAAGAACAAAAGAATGAAGTAATGTTTATACCTAATAGTAATCCGTATTGACATAAATCTCCTCATGAATAGCCATAAGCAACAACAGGGTTCCAACCATACGCATGTACAAAAGTGAAAACCACAGCTGATTTCCTTAAGATTTGGTCCAAAATCAGTTGTTCAAATTGGCATTTCACTGATGTTGTAACTATTTATTACCCGTAAGAAATCAAGTGTTGACATATCTCTTAAAGTAAATTAAATGCCCATATATCATAGCTACTACCAGAAATTTTATTTTCTGGCTTGTCCAATACAAATATTAACCAAAAAGATAAATGAATAAATAACAAGAACAAACAAATTCCTATACATACATATCTAGGCCAAGAAAAGGATAAACTTTCTGCTCTTGTGGCCAAAATTCTGCCTTCATTGCGTAAGCAACATCAACACCATGTTCATCAGACTGGATTTCCAGCTAGTGTCGTAATGTGTCTATTCAAGTGCACAATTGGTGAAGCCCTGACAATCTTTCTACTTTCAAAAAACTTTGACCAAAACAGAGCAAAAAGATGTTGTAATATAACTAACATAAACATGACTTCAATCGATTAAGAAGTTTCAAACCTACACTTACGTGTAAGCGCATCTTCCACATATGAAATGAGTCTCTTTCCAACAATGCATAAATCACGGTCCTTGCTAGATACCGTCACCAACCAAATCTATGTAAGCTTCTATATAATTGAACCTTGGGCTATGCTCCCATCAATGCCTCGAGGCTTCAGAAGCTACCTCACGCCCAACAACTCCTTCAGATGCTCTTTACCGCTGCATACAGAAACCATACAACCACCTCATTAACAATCATAAGCACACACCGCAAGGAAGAAATCTGTGGGGTGAGTTTGAGTTACTCTTTTTAGTTCATAATGCAAGAATCCCGGGACAAGGAAAAAACTATTTCTTCCTGCAAGAATCCTAGGATAACGAAAAACCTATTTCTTCGCTTTTACTACACCACAGGAGACCCCATTAGTTTACTCAGGACAATTCAAGGGCATTGCGCAAATCCCCTCTTCGCCCAAGGAATGCTTACCGAAGGGAAATGTTAACTACTTGAATAAGAAGACCGAGTGAGGTCACTCTTAAAAAAAGAAATAGTTGGTCCTTGGACTATAATATGTCACATCGGCTATTAGTTTCACAGCAGATGGAGTTTCTATAATATGTCATAACTTGCTAAGACCAAAAAATAGAGCTGTCTCTATCCAGATCTGCTAATGGAGACCACAAGAACTAGTTACATCAAGCATAAAGAGGCAAAATTCTTTTTTCCCTGAGCAGAAACTAAAGAGGATTCTGAAGCATGTCCACTAAAGATCATTTCAGAAGGTTGATAATGATAATCCTCTATTATGATATTGTTCTAATTCCGTCTGTTATCCTCTGTCCTCTACCAATTTACACTGAAGTTGCCGTAACTGCTTAAGAGGGTGTTTGGCTAAGCTTATAAGCCAGTTTGACAAGCTTATAAACACTTTTTGGCTTATCTACGCGTTTGGTAAAATTAAAAGTGCTTATAAGCCAAAAATAAGCCAAAAGCCATAAGTTTGTCTCCCCCAACTTATCAAATTTCAGCTTATAAGCACTTTAGGTTTGACCAAAATATTTACTATTCTATCCCTAAAATACTTCTTTTTAAAACAAAACTCTTTGTATACCCAATTTTGTAGCTGTTTATTATTAATTTCAGCACTTTTATCCAAACACGTAATTGCTTATTTTTTAAATTAGCTTCAGCACTTAAAAGTGCTTTTCAGCACCTATGCTTATCAGCTACTCTAAATCAGCTAAGCCAAACGGGCTCTAAGTCCTTTTACCATAATGCCATAACATCACTTTTATGAACCGAGCTCAACAGGTCATATTTTGCTAATTGGTCATAATGCGCTTTTGGCAAATGTTCTTTTTTCTCTTTCTTTACTTCTTCTAGAGCGAGGCGGCCACATTTTACAGATCTGGCAATATTCTATAATTTACTAAGGACGGATAGAAGTGAAGAAAAAATTCTGTTAAAATAAAAGCAATTTGAGGTTTGGGCCACAGAATTTAACTGCAGCAGCCTTCTGGTCGCAAGACTTGTGAAGTACAAGATTTAGAAATTCCTTTTTTTATGAGAAGTAGAAAATTAGTTTAGAAATAAGCTTATCAGATTCAAGCAGCTTCCATCCTCATGATATTTTACCTTTTATGTTGAAATAAAAAACACTATATAATGTGTAGAGGTAACATTAATATATAAAGAAACTAGCAGACTCAGAAGTACCTGTCCGGAAATGAAGGAATTATCTCTTCAAGAACATGTAGCATTAAGGAGTTAGTGGTCTCATCACAGGAGCTTCCCCTGTCCTTGAGAACTGCAAATAAATAAAGAAATCAGTAAATACCAGCCCTCATAAATACAAAAATTTCAAACTTTCTAAGGATTGGAAGCAAGAGAACCGGTGTAGGGGACCATATTTTTGTAAAGGTTCATATTTCAAAGCTCCATCAGAGGATTTTGAATCATGTCATGATAATAGCAAATTCACATTATGAACTTTGCTGACAATCACTCAAGCTATCTAAAATCCATAACTTTCAAGTGGCCAGGGATTTAGCAATAGCAAAGTAACTTGGAGGAATTTACGCGCAATTCTCTTGTAGATGTTACAAAGGTTAGGATCCAGCAACATCAACGTACCATTGCAGTATCAATTTCTTACTCACTTAAGCATATTATCTTCAGATAATAAACAACCATTCTACTCCCTGCTTGGTTTTCATTTCTACCTTGTTTTATTCTAAATCTCAATTTTACTATGCTTGCGTCCTATTCATTCTATTTCTTTTTTTTAAGAGCCTCTCTGTGTTCATCTTCCCTTTTTCTTACTAAAACACACTTTTCGACAGGTTCTTTGACTTCTCATACAATGTAGAGTCTGCCACCTCAAAAGCATCACACAAGTGACATCCCAAACATTCTTGACAGCAGTCAGAAGTCAAAATAGGAAGAGTTGAAGAAACAGAATACCGAAAAGATAAAACAGCAATCAGAACAAATTGCAGTATCACCAACAAGATAATGTAAGAATCCTTTTTCATCTCTCAGCAGAAATAATTCCTTTTTCTTCTCTTTTTTGCCTTTTTATCCTACTCATTCAGGTACAAGGTTCAAATCCCATCAAAAGCCTCCTTTCTTATAGCTTTCCCTCTGCCACTATTTCCTATCCCAACAACAACAACATCTCAATCCTAATCTATTTGGGTCAGCAAAAGAAGAATAAAGAAAAGAAATAGGGAAAATATAAATCTAAAGTGCTCAACCTAAAATCTCATTTCATTTTGTACTATTCAGGACACCTTTTTAATAGCAGTCCTACAGAATACCCACCTGTTGCCATACCAATGAGATGAAGCATCAATAAAACATGCAATCCTACGCGTAATAATTGTTTCCCTTTTTTACTTGCACTAGGTCTTTCCCCTAGACTGTGTCTCCAAAGGCATTCTCAGGCGTGTTTAACTGCCTTTGAGAAAGAGTTCAACCGAGCCGAGCTGCGATAGAAAAAATTTCATGCTACATCTGAGTAGGCTCATATAGTGCATAATCCCCCCATATAACCTTTAAAGGTGTGACTTGTTGGTCAGAGCAAGATTGAACAGTTGAGATCTCAACTTTCAACACCAACAACAACAGCAACAATCCCAGCATATTCCCACAAGTGGAGTCTGGGGAGGGTTAGTGTGTACCTGCGCCTTACCCCTACTTAGTGAAGGTAGAGAGGTTGTTTCCAATAGAACCTCGGCATAGATCTCAACTTTCACAGGACAAGATATTCAGAACATCCACTTCACTAGGTAGGCATAGTGCTTCCCGTAACGCAAAATGCAGGTATACTACACCTTACAAGAGTTTTCCAAGCACGAAGTTCCTTAAGTAACACCTTAAAAATTTAAATGCCCATGGGGTGCTGTTTAGACATGAAAAATATGAAAAGCAAAGGTAGGAACGGAGAATCTGTCTAAAACAATCAAAAGACATTATCTTTTTTCAATGACTACCCAATTGTTTAGAATCAGAAGCAGTACAAGGAGAGTTCTGTGTTCAGATACCTTCAAAATTGTTGGGATCTGAAGTATTGCCTTGGAGATATGATACATCATCATCAGATAACTGTAACCCATCCAACTGAGCAAACTTATTCAACATACAGCTGACAAGACTGTAAGCAACCATACTAGTATCATCAGAAGCTTCCTGAATAAGAAGATACTGATTTCTACTCAAGTTTTTCCTGCGAGGCGATACATTTTTTTCTTCTGAACACTCTTCCGATGTATATCTTTGTGGCCTGCATCCTAAATGCCATGCAGCTTCTTTTTGCTCCATATGATTCCTGTCTGATTCTTTATTAGGCGAGAAAGGTGTAGAAAATTTATTTTGATCTCTGGTGGACATAGATGGGCATGAATCCCTTCCTCCGTGTTGGCCCATGCTTCTTAAATGGTAATCTTTTCCACTCATACTCTTAGCACCTTCAAAACTTTTTGATTCTAAGAATGACGAGGAATTGTCAAACCAATTGGAATGAACTGAATATACTTCATCGGTATACATCGACTCAAGTTTGACGTTCAATTTGTGTTTGGGTGAAAGCAGAGAGGATAAAGCATCATCTCGACTAGCAGTGATTGGTGACTTGGCGTCACTTTGGTTTATCTCACCGACACTTTCTAATTGGCTGTATGAGATATTAGAATCAGACCTACAATTTCGAGGATGATCAGAAAGATGCTCATCTTCATCACCAGCTTCACAATAAGTTTCCGCTATGTTCTCCATGTATGCATTAGCAAAGTCTTCACTGACATCACTTTCAGCGAGTAAATCCCAAACAATTTGTTTTATCTGAGCACTAATATTCAGCACATATTCTACTTCTTCTTCAACCTCCTTCTTTGAGTAGGTTTTCTTAGATGCATGCCTAGATGTTTTGTGAATAATAGCAAGACTTTCTAGTAAACTTTCAGGTATAGACTGCATGTCGCCGCATTCAAGAAGATACTCAGTCAACAGTTTCCTCACTTTCACACGCAAACGAACACTTTCTTTGGCAGCTTTAGCATTCGAATCCAGTACAACGGCAAATTTCCCAGCTCCGCAAAACTTAATTTTTTTTTTATCATCTAGTATTCTGATTGCTTTTGCTATATCATTCTGCAATGCTTCTATATCTGGTGAAAGTTTTTGGAACACCATCTGAGAGGGACAATCAGGTTTTGGCTTTAACATTAATGTTGCTACGGACAAAGCCTTGGCCAGGGGTTCTGGTGGCTCATCCCCTTCTTCATAGCCTGATAGTATTTCCAAAGAAGTTCTCCTGATTTGATTAACTAAATTTTCAATATTCCACCCTATTCGTTTAGACTGCATCTTAGGGATGTCTCCAGTGACATCCCTGAGATTTCTATGCATTTTACTCAAAGTTAGAAGAGACAGCTCCTCAAGTCTATCCAGTATATAAATAGCAGCACTGCGAAAGGATTCGGTGGTAGAACAAAGAACCCCATGGTTAACATGGAAGTTTTGAGGATCACTGAGGAGTTGAGAAATTCTTTTAATCCGACTTTGACTGGAATCATCGCGGTTATGGAGAATTTTGGGAAGACATTGCTTTATTATCCTTCTCATTTGACAATTCGTTTTCTCAAAAGTAATTGAATCGCCAGTTACTGTCTCCGCAATACAGCATAACCCGTTGTTGTTCATCTTATCAAGCAGGGAATATATACTCAAATTCTCAGCTGAATTAAAGAGCAATATGGCTGGAGCGTCAGGGCATGTCCGTTCATCCTTATGCACTCCAAATGCCTTTGCAACAGAAGTTCTAATATTCTCATAATATAACTGCAATTAAGAGACACAGAAAATATATATCAG